AATCCTTCTTTTATACATGTTTGATTAATTGTAATGAGTTTGACCATAATTTACATTTAGAAAAAAATGTTACTTTGATTAAAAGGGAAAGCAATTTACTCAGGGGGAAATGTACAGAAATTGTACTGATTGCTAAGTTCTTCACGGCAAATTTAGCAGTTCTTTCGCTTTCACGATGTTGAATACTTAAAAACATAAAACGATATCAAACGATAAAAAACAAATTCGCCGAGATTTAATGACATCGCCGAGACTGTGTCCAGACATTCCGACGAAAAGAATCTTTAAAACTTGACTAAGAACGTAAACATCAACTTAAACAAACCTAGTCGGATGAAGTCCTAAATGACGAAACGCGTCACACGAAAACCTTTCTCCACATTGTTATACTCTCATACAGGAAGGAAATGAGTAACTACCGACACCGAGGTTCAAGCGGGACACTCTCGACTTATGAATATATGTTTTCCGCCAGGTTTATAAATAACGGTGTCAGGCTACTGACTGCTGTGATTATTAGGTGATTATTGAGTGGAACTATCCAGTCGAATTAGTGTGAATTATTGCGCGTCGATGATTTGTGTTTTGATTTAGGATTTACCGGACGTTAAACCGAGCCGCGCGACTAACAAGGTATTCACTGAAATGGTTAATTAACTTTAGTTGACTTTTACTCCTTTGTTCACGTTAAGTATTTATTTGCAGTTGTAATTAAATACTGTTTTATTTTAACATTGAAGTCTTGAGTTATACATAATTATTAACGTACGTCACAAAACATACACTATTCTTCCATATTTGTTTGAAAAACAACGAAAGTTCTTTGTTTAAGAGTTTTTTTTATTTAATTTTTCTATGGTTCGGGCCATCTTTTTGGTTTCCGGTGATTATATGAAAGAAATATTCCAAAAGCTAAGCAAGGTGTTGATAAACGGAAAACTGTCGTTAGAAAGAAAGAAAAGAGTGCTGGATTACTATGCGATATCCATCCTATTATATGACAATAAATGTTGGACAATTTCCCCAGGGATGTACAGGCAGCAGAAAAAGGGCAAGAGATATAGGTGAAGGCAGTGAACCACTTCTCTGGGACAGGGTGAATGGATGGTAGAACGGGGGGGCGGGGTCTTTAGCAAATAGACAAATATTTTAAAGGCCACAAGAGATAGAAGGTCTTGGAGAGCCATGATCGCCTGTGTCTCGAAAGACCTTCTAGACAGGGTAGTAAAAGAAAGCTAGAAAAAAGGACTAACTATCGACTACAAGCAAGCAGAAGTATGATCATCAGTACGAGAAAAAAAAAGATGCGAGTTACAAATTGGAAAGTACAGAATTTTAAATATCTGGGAAACATTTTAACAGAGAATGTAAAAATAGGACACCGAGATTCGAACACGCATTGGAGTAGCAAAAAGTAAGCATTCTAAAAGCTAACCAAAGTACCGAGGGACGGAATAATGTCGCTAGAAAGAAAGAAAAAAGTGTTAGATTGATATGCGATATCCATCCTCTTATATGACAGTAAATGTTGGAAAATGAGGGAAAAAAACCCAGAGACAACAAAATTTTCAAATTTCATGACTAATTTTTCATAATTTATTTTTAAAGTGCATCCCAGACTTTTAGTTATTCTACAAGTGCGCTCTGAAGAAAAAAAGGTTGAGAAAACACTAATCTAAAGCGACGCTATTCTAAAGGAACTGGAGACTATACCTGGATTTATTATCGGTGGGCGTAATCCTAATATAAGATACGCAGGTAACACTGTGCTGATGGCTGACTCAGAAAGAAAACTACAGGACCTTTTAGACAGGGTGTTAGAAGAAAGCGAGAAGAAAGGACTAACTGTCTACTGCAAGAAGACAGAAAGCATGGTCATCAGCAAGAGAAAAAGGTGAAGATGAAAGTTATAAATTGGAGATAGAAACATCAAGCAAGTGCAGAAGTTCAAATATAGAGGAAACGTTTTAACAGAGAATGGAAAATACGGCACCGAGATCCGAACAGGAATCGAACTAGTGAAAGAGACATTCCAAAAGCTTAGCAATGTACTGAGAAACGGAAAAAAAATTGGTAGAAACAGAGAAAAGAGTGCTGCATTGCTATGTGCTATACATTCTCTTATATGGTAGTTAATGCTAGATAATATCCACATGGACGAAGAAAAAACTTGAGGCAGCAGAAACGTGGTTCTACAGAAGGATACTGAGAATTCTATGGACAGAGCGAGTAAGCAGCAAGGAAGTCTTAAAGAAAATGCTAACAGGAAGAACATTTATACTCAATATCAGGAAAAGACAGCTGAAATCCCTTGGACACATAATGAGGATTCCTTGGTAAACGTAACCCTCATGGTTTAGGGCAAGAGGGGTAGGGCAAGACAGCGGGCCAACTTACCTGACAAGCTTGTGCGAACGGATAGTGGAACGGGGTGCTTAGTAAAGGGAGAAAAACTGCTAAGATACAAAGTTGTGGTGCGCGGCAAACAGAGAAAGAAAATGGGAAATATATTATAGTATTATTGTTTCGACAAATCATTTTTAATAGCATAAAAAATTCTTATGCCACATAAACGGTAAAAAAAGCTACTAGTGCTAGAAACCTTAACCATGAAAAAAAAATCAAGATCAATAAAATTAGGAACAAACGTGGTAAATATATTTCACAGCTGATAATATAAAAAAAAATATCAAACAGAAATGACACGACAACGTAAATTGGGGAACGATACTTGAAAGAAACCGACTTGACAGTCACCGAAGCGTGAGGGCGCGACCCGCGAAAACTATCAAACAGAGCACAATGCATAAACATAGATGCAACCCGATGTAAAGAAAAATAAAGCTATAAAAAATAATGTTTTATGAAAGCCGAAATTGCTCAGAAGACATTTGGCAAATTATGTCGAAATTTGGAACGGGAGTCAGGGAAATGGCCCGAATCGTAGAAAAATTAAGTTAAATATCGCAGTGAACCGTAATCTGCATAAATGAAGCAAAAAACACACACAAACACACATAAACACACACGCACACATAAACACACACACACACACACACACACACACATACACACACACACACACACATATATATATATATATATATATATATATATATAACTTTAAAAATCAGGAGGTCCATTGAATCCGTTACTATGTTTTCATCCTTTCGGTATCCTCAGACGATGTTTTTTCAAATGGCCACCGAACGCATTTTTATTAAAAAAATAAATAAATAAATAAAGTATGCTACATTATTATTTTCAACAAATAAATAAAGAAGGGAACGACGTTGGTCGTAATAGAAAGGGCGGTGGAGAAGGAGGTGAAGAAGGAGGAACACATTCTCCTCCCCCTCCTCCTCTTCCTCCTCCTCCCTTTCTATTGCATCCGGCCTCGTGCGTTTGTTTATTTATTTTCCTGTTTTTTTTTTATTTTTTTTTAAGTTTTCGTTTCGTTTTCGGAAATCATTTTTCGCTATTCCGATGCGCCATTCGGATTTCAGACTCCACATTTTGGATCGTCTGTTATCATCTTTCGCAGATATCTAAATATTCTGTATTTTCTTCATTTTGATTTCTCTAGTTTGCCGGGTTTTTTTTTTGTTTTTTTTTCTCTTTCTCTTGGAGTGTCTCTCTTTCTAACGTCCACACATTCTGACTTTTCCCATTATGCGCCCTAGAAATTTCAACGGTCCACTTTTTTATTCTAAGGACATGATTCGTTTTTTGTCAACCTTTTTCTTAAAACTTCCCCGTTGTAGAACCATATCTACGTCGCCTATAGTTTTCGCTTCATTTGTGAGGAAATTGTCCAACATTAATCGCCATTTGGGATGACTAATATTACATTGTAGTCCAGCACTCTTGTCTTTGTTTCTCGGAAGAAGTTGGCTTCTGGTGTTGTCAGATAAGTATTTTAGGGGATTTAGGCATTTGTTAACTGGTAAACAAACACGTCTTTATTGACTGTATATAATGAAGAGCCTACCTTATAAATTTTTCTGGTAATAGGCTATATAACGACAAGTGTTTGAATTAATGTCTGATTGTTGTGATAAGTGGAAGATAAGGCAGAAATTGGAAAGTAATACAAATGAATGTGATGGGAAAAGTGGAGAGAAAGAAAGAAAATGTAAGGCACAAATAAATAAAAAAGAAATGGAAAAGAAAGAATAGAAAATAAAGAAAGAAAAAGAAAGAAAATGTAATGTATAAGCAAATTAAAAAGAAAAGACGAGAAAAGACAGAAAGAAAGAAAGAAAGAAAGAAAGAAAGAAAGAAAGAAAGCAAATGCAATACATAAACAAATTCAAAAGAAAAGACGGGGAAAAAAGACAGAAAGCAAGAAAGAAGAAAGAAAGAAAAGAAAAGAAAATGCAATGCATAAACAAATTAAAAAGCGAGAACAGACAGAAAGCAAGAAGAAAGAAAGGAAGAAAGAAAGAAAGAAAGAAAAGAAAAGAAAAGAAATTGCATAAACAAATTAAAAAGAAAAGAAGAGAAAAGAAAGAAAGAAAGAAAGAAAGAAAGAAAGAAAGAAAGAAAGAAAGAAAGAAAGAAAGAAAATATAATACATAAAGAAATTAAAGAAGAAATTGTAACGGGGGAAAAATAACAAAAAAAGAAAGAAACAACGCAAAAAAGAAAAAAAAGAAAAAAGAAAAGATACGAAAAGAAGGAAAAGAAAATGTAATGCATAAATAAATCAAAAGAAATGAAAAAGAAAATAGAAAAGAAAGAAAGAAAGGGAAAAGAAAACAAGGAGAATATAATACATAAACAAATAAGACGATACACAAAAGGAAAAGAAAAGAAAAGAAAGAAAGAAAGAAAGAAAGAAAGAAAGAGAAAAGAAAGAACGCGAATAAATTAAGAAAGACGAAAGAGCGATAAGATCAGAAACAAAAAAGAAAGAAGCAAAAAAGGAAATAAGTAACAAGTGAGGTAACAAAATAAAATAAAATGAAAAAGCAATAGAAAAATAAACCTGAGAAAAACTAAGAAACTGCGATAAAATCTGCAATTACACAAGACAGAAAAATAGAGAGAACGGGAGAGGGTAAAAAAGAGAAAGAAGAGAGACGCAGATAGAGAAAAGGAGGCAGAGTTAAGAGGAGATAGTGAAAGGAGAGAGAAGGTAAGACAAAAAAAATTACATAAATAGGAAGAAATATAGAGACAGAGAAAAAGAAAGATCGACAGAAATAGACAAGAAATGGTAAGAAAAAATGGGAGATAAGCTACAGCTAGAGAGAGAAAATAGACACAAAGAAGAAGAATTATAAAGCGAAATTGAGAGAGGAGGAAAGTGACAAAAATAAAAAGGGAAATATTGAGAGGGAAAGAATGACTCTCCCACTAAATATTTTCTTTTTTTTGTTTTCCTAACCATCTCTCACTCTTCTCTTAATTTTCCCGCTCTTAACCATCCTCACTTTTCTCTTACTCTTGCCATCATACTATCTACCTCTTTTTCCCTTTCTCTCTTAATGAAAGAAAAACGAGGTAGATAGTATCATGGTAAGAGAAAGAGTGAGGGGAATGGTTAGACAGATATAGAGAGGAAAGAAACAGAGAGTGGACAAAAGAACAAGAGATAGTGAGATGAGAGTGATGGGGAGAAACAAGACGTTTCAACAGACAGTGAGAGAGAGGTCGAAATCAAAAGAGAAAAAAATATCATTTCATCCCAAGCAACGCAGTAAAGCTTCTAAGACATAAGGAGTTACTAAGTGTGAAAAAATATGAAAAAAAAAAAAATAAATAAATAAATAAATAAATAAATAAATAAAAACATTATTAAGGAGAGAGGACAATAAAAGAACGGGAATTTAGAAGAACATAACGATTGATATTGCATTTAAATTTTTGAAGGCCAAAGTTTGTTTTTGTTTTTTCTTTCAATCTTTTCGCCCCAAGCAAGGCAGGAATGCCACTAGTACGCGGTGGGGTGGGGTGGGTTTTTTTTTTATAAAAAGTGAAAGTGAGAAAAAAGATTGAGTAGAAGGTTATTTGAGGTAAGGATAAAAGATGAACGGGATTCAAGAAGATAGAAGATGGCGATTGACGTTGCATTTAGAAGTGGCAGTTGCATTTAGCTATTTTAACAGTAAACAGATGGGACCTAGATGCCAATCTAGTAACACGCTTAAACTCATATTGTCGGGTCACCAGGGAAAAAAAGGCTCGCCAGAACAGTTGACTTGAAAATATTTGTAGAAAAGACAGTGGGAAGCCACCGTAAAACAAGAATTCAGAAGAGAGGTAGACAGGTGAGAAGTGCGAGAAAAGAAACTGTTTGCATAGAACTTACGGTTGTATCTAGCCATTTCAATTGTAGGATGATGACACATTGCCACCAAGCAGGTAAAGAAATTTCTTTTTAAATTGTTAAAATTAAATTAAAAAAAAATAGGTAGAGAGAGAGAGAGAGAGAGAGAGAGAGAGGGGGGGAGAGGGAGGGAGAGGGAGAGAGTGTGTGTGTGTGTGTGTGTGTGTGACAAAGAAAGAAGACAAACGCAAAATCACGAACTTGAATTTGTTTTGTGATATTTTTCACACGTAAAAATCTGAACCCGGAGGTAAACTGCCGTCACAAATTGATAAGATTTTGTCAGATTTGAAGCATGGATTCTTATTTATTTGTTTATTCTTTACAAACAAACACAGTCATTTGTCCTCAATAACATTTTCACCTGATTTAACCTGAAAAATATATATATATATATATATATATATATATATATATATATATATATATATATAAAATAAAAGGCTGGCTAACAAATTCGTCTACGCTATTTAGCTTTTTAATAGTGAAATTAAAAAGTAAACTGCTTAGACTATCGAATATTGATGTGAGTCCAAATTGATCATTTATGTGCCGTATGCCTTCAGAACCCGGGTGATCATGGCTCTCCACAACTACCTATCCCGTATAGCTATAAGCAGTGATTGAATCTTTACCTTTCTACTTTGTTGCGCGCTGATTCATTCTACATCGCTTTCCCTTATTGTCTTGTGAGTATTACATTTTCCCAGCCGTCTTTCCTTCTTACACAGAAATATCAGCTGTTTCTTTCCGATTTTGCGTATGACTGCCTCTATAGTTCCTGTTTTTCTTTAGAACTTCCTCATTGCTTACGTTTTCTGTCCATGGTATTCTTAGCATCGGTCTGTAAAACTACATATTTGTAGCTTAGAGTTACTTTTTCATCTGTAAGGAAATTGTTCAGCATTCACATTCATGGGCTGGCTGGATAGATATGACAGCGGTTCAGCAACCTTTTTTTTATTTCAAATGAAATATTCCTATACCTTAATACTTTACTTAGTTTCTGGAAGACATCTTTCGCTATTCTATCTTCGGATCCCTGTGTTACATGTTTAGCGCGTAAATTACTCCTTGGAGGGATTTCGCATTATTTATCATCTCTCAGTTGCGTCTCTGTCCTTGGACAGAGTGCGCTCAGGGGCTTCTCTGTCAAAGGACAGAGGGGCAACTGAGGAAAATTATACTGAAGATGTGCCCAGCCCTGGGGAACTTCTTGGCTACTTACTCTGAGTTTTCATAGTTTTCCTACATCGTTTGCCATCACCATCGTGTCTTCTGCGTATCTGATGTCAAGATTATGGCCTTCGATAGTAAATCCTGGCAGAGTTCTCCAGGATCATCTCGCTGTATGGGATAAACAAATCCAATGTGAAAACTTACTCTTGTCTTGCTCCTCGATGTTGTTAGCTGGGGCAAGGAATGCCAAAACGAAACTGTCTTAACTGTCTGAGAAAATGCTTTTTGACTTCAATCAGTATGGCTGATACTAACCTCCAGGCAAGTGACCCATTGCGCGTTCCCGGACAAACGTTTTCCGCTGATATGAAATGAAAAGATGACATTGAATCTAGGTTTGCAGCTAGGAAAATTGTTTCAATGGATCGTGATAGATAATCTTTCTCGCCGGGATTTATTTTACATATTTATAAGTCCACCATTCGTCCATGATTTGAATATCGCTTCTACATCTGGTCTAGTGCTTCTGCTACTTTTTTTAAAAGATTCTTGATAAAACCCAAAGAAGAATCTGCAATGTTATAAGTCTTGACCTGGCATCTCGGGTCAGTTAATTTCCCACCGTCGTAACGTAGCTTCCCTGTGCCTTTTCTATAAATACTTTCATGTTAATTGTTCTGATGAACTTTCCTCTATGGTACGTGGACTTTATGAATTTAAGTGCAATTTAGATTGGCGGCAATATGCAATCATTTTACAGTTGAAATGTCAAGATGTAACCGTAAGTTCTATGCTAACAGTTTCTTCGTTGCTTATGAAGCTCTATCTCGGCTTCTTGCTTCCCAGTCAACATTGATCTTCAAAAATCTAAATGAAATGTTAATCGTTATCTTCTGTCTTCTTAATTCTTGTTCGTTTATTGTTCTTTTTATTTAATTGTTATAAGGTCCACCCTTTTTCCATACAAGTGGATTCGACCAGTGTGTACTTGTACCGCTGCCGGTGAATGCCCCGGTGTTAGCGAGAGATACACAGATAGAGTGAGTAACAGAGATACACTGATACAGTGAGGTAACTGCTTTGTAGGAGTCACAGTTGCGAGCACGTAGACTCAGAAGGAAGTCCTACTTCGATACTGAATTTCCCAGACTGTATATATATTATTATTGCTACTAACCGCATTTCTGGATCTACTAACCGTATTACCAATTGTATTATTACGTCAATACATTTATTTGCTATATTTCATTCCTGCGTTTGTCATTCATTTGAGACTGGATTTCATCTCGGAATCCACAACATTAATGGTCTTTTTTTCTCATATTCTATCACACTCAGTAACCTCCTTGCATCTTAGTGACTTTATTGCCTTGCTTCGAATGAAAAGATTTTACTTCTGCGTTTACCATCACCAAAGTATTATCTGCGTATTTTACTTAATTAAGATTATGGCCACCGATAGTAAATCCTGATAGGACTTCTAGTTCTCTTAGGATCGTCTTCGTGTAGAGGCTAAATAATTTCGGTAAAAAAGTACCCTTGTCTTATACGCCGTTTCTTTTTGGTATACATGCTTAAATCGTTCCCTATCTACATGCAGGCAGTTTGTACCCGGTAAATGTTAAAGGTTCTTCTAATATCCTTCCCATCTAATTCGAGCTTACCTTGAAGTTCAAATATGGTTTTGATCTGGTACCTAATCAAATACATTTGTGTCAGCCGCATTCACGTTGAATAAACTGGTTTTCGTCCGGTTTAAGAAGGAATCTAATACGAAATTAACGCATCACTTAAGAATACAAGAAGCTTTTACTTTGAATTCAAACATGTTTTATTAAAATATTTTCTGATGATAACAACAATAACTTTTTCTAGTTCACAAACGTTTGGATTAAGATGACTGTTTTGATCATTAAAAAAAAAGAATAATACAACATTTTAATTGAACACGTCGCATCCATGACAAATCATATTTCCAAATCTATTTGTAGAAATCACGTCAGTAGCCTAAATACTCGACATTATTTATATTTTTTCACGCGTCATCTCCCCTTTTCCCACAAAATGTCATCTAAGTCGAGCCATCGTGCGTTAACCATTCAGTAAAAGGCCCTAAATGATGTACACGGTCAGCTAGTGGGTGTTATATATCACTCGTATACATCAATAGATAGATAGATATTAAAAAGGTAGATATGAGATAGATACATAGATAAATATGAAAAGGGCAGGATAGATAGATAGATAGATAGATAGATAGATAGATAGATAGATATGACAAGGGCAGGATAGATAGATATTAAAAAGGTAGATATGAGATAGATAGATAGATAGATAGATAGATAGATAGATAGATGTGAAAAGGGTAATATAGATAGATATGAAAAAGATAGATAAATAGATATATAGATATGAAAAAGGCAGGATAGATAGATAGATAGATAGATAGATAGATAGATATGAAAAAGGCAGTATAGATAGATATGAAAGAAGTAAATATAAAAAATATAGATAGATAGAAAGGACAAGATAGATAGATAGATAGATAGATAGGGTGCGTCTCTCAAGCCACAGCGTCATGTAAGCCGGAAAATACGGATAATCTCCTTTATTTTCAACATTTGTCGTTCAATGGGAATGTCCATTTTCGATTAGCCTTTTAAAAGAAATTCAACTTTTTTTTTCATTTTTGAATGTTCTCCCATGTATGAAACAAATTAAAATCTGTAGTTGATAAATCTGAATAGAGGCTGTGGAAGAAGCTCTCATACCAACAATCTTTTTTTTTTCTTTTTTCTTGTTTTTTTTTTTATTTTTTATTTTTTTTTTATACAATGTGTGCCCTTGCATTTTCATGATGAGGATTAACACTTGTTCAGTTTGTCAAAAGCAGGTAGTTTCGACGTAATGCTTTGTTTTATATGGCGTCACCGATAGGATATTTAAGTCGCTTAGATGAATCAAAATTTGTTGAGACATGGATCCGTTGTTTTGCAGCTCAGGTGAGGGCTAAAAAAATTGAAAGACAGAAAGGCAAAGTTGTGAACCTATAATAAAAGTTTCTGTTATGGCATATCTCAAAGAATTAGAGGGTTTGATTTTCGTCGAATTTTTGGTAATCATAAAAAGAAATTTAAGACTTAAAAAGAAACTTGTGATAGCGGAAAGAACCACATCTCTGTCCATTATTGAAAAACAAGATGAAACAATTATACAATATCTTCAAAGATTAAAAGAAGCTGGCAGATTTTGCGAGTTTGAGAAACTGGGAACTCAAGATTTGACTATAGAGGATGAATTGATTCAATTACAGTTGAGTGATGTGTCTTCTCCCGGGACTTATTCAAGCTATACAGCGAGACATTTCTGAAGGAACTGGATATTCTACCAGGATTCATCATTGGTGGCCACAACCTTACCAACATAAGATACGCTGATGACACGGTACTGATCGCAAACACGGAAAAGAAACTACAAAACCTTCTAGAGAAGGTGTGCGAGGGAAAGCGAGAAGAAAGGACTAACCATAAACTACAAAAAGACAAAATGCATGGTCATCAGTAAAAGGAAGTGCGGAAGTTTAAGTATCTGGGAAGTGTTCTGACGGAGGACGGTAGGTGTGACACTGAGATCCGAAGATGGTTTGCCATGGCCAAGGATACATTCCAGAAACTGGCAAGAGTACTGTGAAACAGGAGGATTTCTATGGTGACAAAGAAAAGAGTACTGAGCTGCTATGTGACATCTGTCCTCCTGTACGAATATTAGACGGTATCCTCAAGGATGAAGAAGAGACTCGAGGCGGTGGAGATGTGGTTCTACAGAAGGATGCTGATGATATCATGGACCGAGAATGTGAGCAATGATGAGTTCTTGGAGAGGGTTCAAACAAAGAGGAAGCTTATGCTTAACATAAGGAAGAGGCAGATGAAATTTCTGGGACACGTGATGAGAAAGGATGGCCTGGAGAATCTGATACTCACGGGACGAATAGAGGGGAAAAGAGACAGGGGAAAACAACACATGACATACGTAGCGGGCTTGGGCAGGTGGATGGCGGAGTGTGGTCTGGAGGAGTTGGCAGAAATACAAAACCTTTTGAGAGGATAGGGGGAAGGGGAGAGCCATGATTGCCCACGTCCTGAAAGGACACGGCACATAAAAAGAAAAGAAAAATATAGCTGATACATCTCATAAATATAAAATATTGGGAGACTTCATGAATTCAAGCGTCCTACGAGACTGGTATCCCGCTCTCACCCTTTCACTGTTGAAACTTTTAAATGTAGCCGTCTCTTCTACTCCAATAGCTTCATATCTCGCACCTCTCGCCTGTAGAACTCCCTTCTCTTTTCCTGTTTCCCTGAGAGCTATAATCTCCAACTATTCAAATGTAATGTCAATCGACATCTCCAGTTGCCTTGATCTATCCATTATCCTTCTCCTCATTCTTTCTTCTATCACTGATCTTGCTCCAAATCTTCTGTAACCTCTTGCGTCCTAGTGGCTTCCCGCCTTGCTTGGGGTTAAAAAAATTGCAATTGAATAAACAACAAATCAAAGAGAATCTCTTACTAGACTTAATTAAAAAAGATGAAAGCCTTGAGAGAAATGAAGTTTTTAAATTAATATACATGAATAATGGCTGGGTGCTTGTTTCTGAGGTTGCTTCTCTCTTAGGGTGGCTAAACAATCCCTATTCAGGCACCTGTGGTTTTTACTGCAGCTATAATATGCAGACCTTAGTTAATTTTTTTGGGGGAAAGAATGCACAATCTGGCATGATAAGTAGTTGAACAAGGCAAGTATACTCAAACTCTCAGTCACGATGACTTGTGAGTTCATGCTAGCATAACCATCAATGTCTTCTAAACAGTTTTCTCAACTCAATTTCACTCACAAATCAAGGGTTAAAGAATTAAAAGACAGCAAAGGCAAGAGGGGGGAGAAAAACGATATTGTTATGGTCCGGTTCCTTGTACCACGGTGATAGATCAAGGTAGAACCAATAAAGAAGAACTTGAACACAGGTATGGAATAACACAGATATATTACAAAGAGGAATATATACAGAGAAGTAGAAGTGTTAGTATGAACAATCAGGTTTAGTAGGGAGAACAATGTAGTCTCGACCAGTATCATTATTTCAATGTCTTGTAGTAATTGTCTGAACGCGAACTGTTTCGGACTGCCTTTGACTCGACTTGAACTACGGACTCCTTGCCAACTCCCGAGGCGCAGTATTTATTAAGTATGGAATAGTCCATTATTATTATTATGGGTAAGATCTCATAACAGATATCTTCCTAGCTTTGGCAGGTTGTGAAGCTATAATGAGAATTTCTGTTATGGCATACCCCAAAGAGTTGGAGGATTTGATTTTGGTCGAAATTTCAGAAATTATAAAAAGAAATTTCTTTTCATTAAAGAGAAACAAGATGAATCAATTATACAGTATCTTCCCAGATTAAGAGAAGCTGGCAGATTTTGCGAGTTTGAGAAACTGGGAACTCAAGATTTGACTATTGAGGATGAATTGATTCAATTACAGTTTATTGGAACAATTTCTTTTCTTTTTATGTGCCATGTCCTTTCAGGATGTAGGCGATCATGGCTCTCCACATGGCTCTCCACTTCCTCTATCCTTTGTGGCTCTCAACAGGTTTTGTATTTCTGTCAACTCCCTGAGATCATGCTCCACCATCCACCTGCCCAAGCCCACCACGTATGTCATGTGCTGCTTTCCCCTGTCTCTTTTTCCCTCTATTCATCCTGTGAGTATCAGATTCTCCAGGCCATCCTTTCTCATCACATGTCCCAGAAATTTTATCTGCCTCTTCATTATGTTAAACATAAGCTTTCTCTTTGCATCCTCTCCAAGACCTCATCGCTGCTCACATAGCAATTAGAATGTAATAATTTGACTCTAACTGCATGTGTGGAAGTTGACTATTGATTACATAACAACACTATAAAACAATTTACTCAAGTTGTTGAGAAAAAAACATCTGCATGAATGGTTGTTTCCTGTCCAATTAGCTCGTAATGGACGACAGGTTTCATACTCCACAAACCCATGACTCCAGTGAATAGCGTCCTGGTTTTTTGTGTTGCCACTGGTTTCTCATTTTATGATAACCACTGCCTTTTTTTCGTTTTCTGTTGGCATGCAAAACCCATTTTTCATCACCTGCTACAATGCGATGCAAAAATAGAAAGTCGACACTCCTGGTTGTAACAGAGCTACAGATGGTGGAACGCTGTGTTCGGTTAGCAATTTCAACAGTAATTATTCGCTATTCCTACTATCAGATAAATCTTTAAGACTACATTTACCTTATAGTCTTAATCAAACGAAATTCCACAAAAATTCCTGTACATGTATGTAGGTCCACGCATCTATATATAAATGTAGTAAATGTACTCACACGCACATGCACGGACAAACATACATAAATTCTATCCCTATCAGAAATTAAGAAGACAAAAGATATCTATTGACATTGGATTTAAATGTTTGAAGATCAATTGGAAAGCAAGAAGCCGAAGGAAAGTTTCACAAGCGAGAAATGTGATAGAAGAAACGCTTAACATAGAACTTACGGCTGCTACATCTTGCCATTTCAACTGTAAAATGATGAGAACTTGCTTCCAATCTAGCAGTACGCTTAAAGTCTAGATACCGTAGAGGAAAGAACAATTACCATGGAAATGTTTATAGAAAAGGCAGAGGGAAGCTACGTTAAAATTATGGCGTCATATATTAGAGACGACATCAGAATTTAAAGATAAAAAATTCTATTTCTGATCTAATAGTTTGATCAAATAATGACTGCATTTTTTTTTTTGTAAAAATATGGTGGAGTTTCAACATAGTTCCTGAGACCAGAAATAATAATTTTTAATTTTTCTTCATATTACTCTCTATAGATTTAGTAATACATATTACGAACACACACACACACACACACACACACACACACACACACACACACACACACACACATATATATATATATATATATATATAAAGTAAATCTATCGAGTCTAGAAGAAACCTCAGCAGAATACAGAAAGCACTAGACGGCTGTTTCGTCCTATATTTGGGATTCATCAGCAGTGCACATCCACTACAGACTTGAACACGGACCGTTACGATACGACGCAAGAGTCATGAAAACTGTACCAATGGATCCCGGTGAGGAATTTGACTCTATATAGCGCCGCTCTTCACAAATTCCGTGGTGTAACTCATCCAAGTTTCCCTTACCCATAGGACAGTGCCCCCACGACTTCCATCCCTAAGCCGCTACATCCAGAGTATTAGAAGCCGGTTCAAGCAAGGACATACAAGTATTAGAAATTATTAAGAGGATTTGAGATAATCATAATAAAGTAATTAAATCTAATTCTTCGTCACCGAGACCATTGAAATCTATGGAATACGGAGGGAATGTGGAAGGTTTGCTACTAGCATATTTTCAAGGGGATCAATTTAAAATGAATTTACACTGCAAACTGGACCCCGATTTAACTTTTAATATTTTCTATTAATAAAACCACATTCGTGAAATGGAGAGTGCTTAATATTTAATAAATTGAAGAAAAAAATTTGAAAAGATTTGCTTTTGATGGTCGCAGTGCCTATACTAAAACTTTACCAATACGTGTCCTTCAAAGAGGAATTAATAAAACTTCACAAATTCCCCCAAAAGAGGAGTACCCTGGGTATGACGATAGACTACATTCGGCATCAAGGCCTTTGATCGGGAGCTCTTGAGGAGCGTGGAACTACCTCTTAATTGTTGGTGTTCCCAGGTCCATCCTGAACCGGGGTGGTAGTACCTTTTTGTGATGTCAACGAACACCCGTTGCCACTTTAGTGATGCCAACGAATACTCGTGGTCACTTTCGTAATGTTCGTTGTAGTAGAGACTGTAATCGCAGATACAACTATAGTAACGCCGTTGAACAATACTGGTGTCAGACGCCTTCGAATATCACTCGCACTAATAGTAATTGCTCGATAATATTCGCTCGAATAGGAATCTGTATAAAGAAATACTATAGTGAATAGAGTAGAGAATAGCGGTCCGTATAGTAATAGAGGATAGAGTAGAAATGGTGATCCGAATAGTATAGAGGATAGACTAGAATATAGCGATCGCTTAGACATCACGTTACGACCTACTTATGCGTTTCCGCTATGGTCACGTGGTCTACTTAATTCAATAATGGGATCTCTTGTGTTCGCTCACCGGTGATCTATGTTCAAACTCATGTGTCGGCAGCGACACTTCATTTCTATAGACTTGTTAGGGGTCGCAGCTATGGGCAAATAGTTAATCCCAAAACTGGGGTCAAAACACTATAGATTTTTATAGTAAATAAATACTAGTAATACATTAAAAAATATTATCAGAAATACATTTGACTTTCGACAAAAAAAACCCTCTTTACAAAAAAACATCAATGAAACCTGATCTATAAAAATTATATCGTAGAAAGAATACATTCGATTCATACGAACGTATACTAAAAATCTTGTCGGCCTTAAATAACCCATTGTGGTGTTGATATGCCGTAAAACAAAATAAACCAAATCAAACCAAGCCAGAAGAAATATACCTCCATCTTAGTTAGACTCGGTACTTTTAAGATAAATCTATATTGGGGGAAATGAGTAAAAGTAAACAAATCGTTTTTTTTTTTGTTTTATTTCATTTATTTATTTGAAAATTGGTCGAGTAGAACGAACGGAATGGATATCAGTTCACTTACACCAACACAGTCTATAATATCTCGTTACGTCGCCATGGAAGGTCGGTGTGCTTTCCCTTGAGATGGCCGGTTAGTTGGTCATATGGACGACAGCTGCTGTCGCCACAGGCACTTGCAAAGTATTCGCCATTTGCTCGCACATTTTCAAAATAACTCACACGCACTTAACCGCATGACATATTCGGACTTATATCTTCATCATGTTTGCTGTTTTGAACATAGAGTTTCGAAAGTTATCTGGACTTCTACCAGTATCTATGTGTACTGTGATCTTTGAACTGGTTTACAAACATGCCTTTCTTAAGAAATGGTATTCACCCTTCAAACACACACACACACACACACACACACACACACACACACACACACACACACACACACACATATATATATATATATTCATTGATGTATGTTTCATTAAATAATATAGACAAGTTTTGTGTATTTATTTTAAGTAAGTTCCTTTCATATTGTCTGATAAGCTTGATAACATTATCGTTGAAAGACGAAAGGAAATCGCCATATTGTTTTTTAATCCTATCTAAGCTTTCGGCTTACATAAGGCATTATCAAAGATGACAATTACTTTTCAATATATCAACCAATACACGGACGAAACAATAATGATAGTCTGTTTTTGTTGCATGATAAATTTCAAAGCGACGACTAACATCGTGTATACGAGACGCGGAAGTGAAAATCGCGTCGCAGCTCGTGACGTCACACATAAGAACGCGAGAGTGAAAACGAGAAGTATTAAGTATGGGAAGCCGTTGGTATAAACCAATGGCTTCTGTTATCAATTATAGGCATTTAAGAATATTTGTGGAGATTTCATAGTTTACTTTGTTCAGGTTAGGTTTCAACTGTTTTATGTATATAGCTTCAAGAATTTATTTTTAGTTTTTGTTTATTGTTTTCATGTTTAAATATAGCTGTGTTTTCAACGAGGATTTTCCGGAATTGTGTATGCGGCTAGGCATGTTGTTTTAAATTTTAAATGCCTATATATATATATATATATATATATATATATATATATATATATATATATATTAATTGATTTAAATGTGTTTTTTTTACACAGTTCTAACCATGTTTCAAAAATAGAAGTAGCTTCTATTTTTTGAAACATGGTTAGAACTGTGTAGCGGAAAAAACATATTTTAAATCAATTAATTTATAATATTATGCTCTGTAAATTTACATTGAGTACTATTTTGTAAAATAAAATATCTATAAGAACACCGGATTGTATATCTTACTGTTCTTTTTTTATATATATATATATATATATATATATATATATATATATATATATATATATAATAAAAAATCTCTTTAAATAATTGTCGGACTTTGTCCATTTCATAATGTGTGACGTCATTTGTTTACATTTGATACGCCATGGGCAGATACGAATGTACGTGAGAGATTCATGGAAGATTGAAATTTATAAGCAGTAAATTCGACCTTGCCAACTGAACTATCCTTTGTGGCCGAGCATTAAGAGCATTTACTTAAATACTTGTATATATAAAAAGAATGATCTATTTTAATACTGTTAAAATAACTTTTCGATATACATAAACATAACATTATTTATTTAATAAAGAAAAAGAATTAAATTGTTTCGACGCATTTCTTTTGAAAAACAAGAAAAGAACAATAATATTCAGGCGCATTCAAAATAAGCAGTCACCCATTTTGTAAAATCCGTAAGCGTGAAACAGACTGTTAATAGGTAAAAAATAAAAATGTTATATATATATATATATATATATATATATATGTTGTGGACCCGGAAGAGGTCCGAAAGAAAACTCTAACTCAGTAATTCAGTGAAAACGTATTATTAACAAAAGGAACGAGTACAGAAATGTTGCACATCCGTCTGACGGCTAAGTAGAGTAGTCAACTCGTCTTCAATATTTAACGATTCCCCCAACGAGGAATGTATGTGGCACAAGGCCGAGTTTTACGTGGGTTTTTTCGAGCCCGTAGGCTCGGCCAAAAATATACCCTTTGAACCCGCCTAGACGGGTTCAGGGCCTGTCGACCTCCCCGGACGAGACTTTGCCTTTCGGCAAAGCTTCGTCCGGGTTCCTCTCTGCCAAAGCAGAGAGCTCGACAGAAGTCGGACACAGAAGACGTACACGCAGTCAATTCGTCCACTGTCTACAGTCCTCTTGCGAGGCATAATATAGTCATAAGGCGAGTTTATTTTGTTCAAGAAGGTAGGTCCCTTTAACAATATATATGTATAACCGTAACCTTAAGTTTTATTCTAATAATTTCATTTTTCACATTTCTCACCTATCGTTTCTTGCTTCCCTGCTACCTACAATTTTCAACAATTTAAATGCAACCTTAATCTTCACCTGTCTCCTGAACATTGTTCTTTTCTTCTTATTAAAGTTTCTTCATTCTCTTTTACTTTCAGTAAACCCTACCGTCTTAGTCTCATTATCGCCTTGATAAATGATTAATATATATATATATATATATATATATATATATATATATATATATATATATATTATGAATCATTCATACAAAAAACAAATATAAAGGTTAATGATTTAAATGGCGAGAATACATCATCGCAAACAATATAAATAAGATACATCAACCCCGAACCTGTATATGAATGATATGATCCCTGTTTATAAATTCCAGTTGCATAAGGTCTTTTAATTTTTACAACCTTTCGTCTGTTCTTACAGACATCATCAGGTATGGAAGTAGATTTTGTTCTTGTTTTCACCTCTCAGTAATAAGAGGACAACGAAAAAAGAGATGTAATTTATAGTTTGCGAAGATGTATTCTCGCCATTTAAATCATTAACCTTTATATTTGTTTTTTGTATGAATGATTCATGAATTTGTAAATTATATTTGCACCTTTTAATTGAAATTAAAATAACTGATCCAACGTGCAACTCTCGGATAATAAGTGTGACATTACTGTAATTATTGAACAATAAAGTTCATGCCATATTCACGGGAAATCTACCAGTAAAAAAGAATTCTCTTATTGCTATATTTGTACAAAAACGCACAACCTTAAAATTTAAATTCAAACTCAGCGTTGCGACTGCACGTTCCAAAACAATTTCTCATGGCATTTTTTCGGATTACATCTCTATTTTCGTTGTCCTCTTATTACCGAGAAGTAAAAACAAGAACAAAATCTACTTCCATACCTGAGGATGTCTGTAGGAACAGACGAAAGCTTGTAAAAAATTAAAAAGACCTTATGCAACTGGAATTTATAAACAGGGATCATATCATTCATATACAGGTTCGGGGTTGGTGTATCTTATTTATATTGTTTGCGATGATGTATTCTCGCCATTTAAATAATTAACCTTTATATTTGTTTTTTGTATGAATGATTCATGAATTTGTAAATTATATTTGCACCTTTAATTGAAAATAATATATATATATATATATATATATATATATATATATATATATATATATATAAGCAGGAAGTTGTTTTGTTTTTTAAAATTTAATTGATAAAGTCTGTCTGTTTATCTTTTATATTTTTCCAATTTATGAATAAATAAACTACTTCAGATTTGTATAGAAAATTTATGTTTTTGTCCGAATAATTTCAACAATCTCTGGTCAATTTCAAGAATGTCGGCATTGGAAAAAAAACTCTTATTAGCTTTATCCTGGCATTTATAGGAACTCTATATTTCTGATTTAAATATAAATGTTCTGTACAAGTGATATCGTGGGTCGGACGCTATCACAAATCTTGACATCACCAGAGAACGAAGGTATTAAGTATTTTATACACGTTTTAAATATTTTATTATATGCGGTTAAAAAGATAGAAATTTAATACTCACGTTTGCCGTTAAACTTAATGGTTAAAACATTTCATGAGCAACGTGCGAAACAAAGAAATGATTACTGAGCAGTTATATAATATCAATCTTTCTATATGGTAGTGAATGCTGAACAATCTCCTCACAGATGAAGAAGGGACTTGAAGAAACAGAAATGGCGGCGGGGGGGGGTCAACAAAAAGAAGCTGAGGATATCATGGGCTGAAGTTGTAAAGTTTTAGAAACATGAAAACAAAAAGGAAATATACTTAACATTAGGGAGAGAGCGTTGAAATTTCTCGGGCACATAATGAAAAAAAGAGGGCTTGGAAAATCTGATACTCACGGGACAGATTGAAGGCAAAAATATACACAGAAAAAGAACTCATAGCGTAGTTAGTGAATAAATAGATAGCGGAAAATGTTTACGAGAGATAACAAAAAGACAAAATTTATTAAGAGCTACAAAGGACAGGAAATTGTGGAGAGCCATGATTACCTAAGTCCTAAAGTGGCACGGCACATCGAAAAAGAAGCTTCTGTGAATGGGTGGCAGAAAGAGGTTTAGGAGAGATAACAAAAAGACAACATTTATTAAGAGCTACAAAGGACAGGAAATTGTGGAGAGCCATGATTGCGTACGTCCAGAAGGGACACGGTACATAGAAGAAGGAGATATAAATGGATAACAGAAAAAGATTTAAGAGAGATAACAAAAAGACAACATTTATTAAGAGCTGCAAAGGACAGGAAATGGTGGAGAGCCATGATCACCTACGTCCTAAAAGGACACGACACATAGAAGAAACAGCTTCTGTAAATAGATGACAGAATGAAGTTTGGGAGAGATAACAAAAATACAAATTTTATTAAGAGCTACAAAAGAAAGGAAATTGTGGAGAGCCATGATTACTTACTTCTTAAAGTGGCACGGCACATACTAGATGAAGTGATTGTAAACAAGAAAAATTCTACCAAAGAATATGTCGAAATTAGATACAAGGTTAAGTAATTTTTGGTGAGCTAGTATGAGATCTTCTGAGAAATACTTTCTTGATGAATCAATCCCCCAGATTTGTGGAGACCGCAACGCGATTAGGCACTTGTATCTAACCGTGTCGATTTAGACAAGCATGCCAAAAATTTTATTCGAATAAAGGCCAGCGAGGAAAAGGGTGTTTGAAAGCGACGTAAGTGTCGCTTGTTCATGTTGTCTATGTCTCCTCGATGTGTAAAAACCACGAAATTAATTCATGTGTCAACCGGTTCCTGGTTGGTCGTGAGACCCAAAACCTCGTGAGATCGATCTTAATCTAGCTTAAATCCACCCAGTGTATCAGATCTTCAAAGGAGATCAACTTGTAGTCCTATACACAAAAAAAGCTTACCTTTGTTAAGAATGAGTCATCACCCGATTAAGCCGCTACACTTACAGTCAATACTTGTGAGATTAATGTGTTGAGAAAAGTAGGCGGTCCTGCCGTCTGGGTTATAAAATGTGAATATCTTGAAATATGAGGACAAGTAAATAAAAAATAAAAAATAATAGAGTATTTAAGTAAAAATAAAATTCGACTTATTAAACATAGCTTAGGCGGGGAACAAAGCAGCAGATATGGAGCACTTAGTGAGGATTGAACCCACTAACCACTAGTAACTGATCTAGCAAAACAAATTTGCTGAGCTTTGCACCACATCGGAATACAACGATACTTCTTTTTTTCTCGAGAAAATAAGTATAAACACAAAAAATTTTATGGCGATCTTCGCCGTATTTTTCATTCAATATATTCAGGATATAGGGAGGTCGGTGTAATGGCTAGCAAGCTTGTCTCACTAGAATAATTACGATTGAGTAGTGAGTTCGATCCTCACTGGGTGCCCCATACTTTCGGCCTTATGCCACATCTAAGCTACGCTTGGAAAATCACTTTGGGCATCTCGAGGCAGTGTAATTGTTAGCAAGCTTGTCTCGCTAGAACAATTACGACTGAGTAGTGAGTTCGAATCTCACTGGGTGGCCTATACTTTCGGCCTTGTGACGCATCTATGATACGCTTGGAAAATGAGTATATTTTTGGGCATCTCTAGGCGGTATAGTGGTTAGCAAGCTTCTCTCCCTAGAACAATTACGACTGAGTAGCGAGTTCGATCTTCACTGGGTGCCCCATACCTTCGGCCTTGTGCTACATCTAAGCTACGCTTAGAAAATCACTATATTTAGGACATGGGCGATCACGGCTCTCCTCGACTTCCTGTCTTTTTCAGTTCTGAATAAGGTTTGTCTTTTGCTATTCATTCTAGTTCCTCTTCTGCCAATGATTTACAATCTCTTTACGTAAGTTATTCGCTGTTTTTCTTTGTCCCTCTTGCCTTTAAAATCCCCTGTGAGTGTTACATTTTCCAAGCCCTATTTCCTCATTATGTGCCCTAGAAGTTTCAATTGTCTCTTTCTAATTCTAAGTATAACTATCCTTTTTTGCTTACATTTTCTATAAATCTTCGTCTTTGCTCACATATTCAGACCATGGTATTCTCAACATACTCCTGTAGAACAACAATTCTGTTGCCTCAAGTATCTTCTTCATCTGTGATATATTCACTGTCATATATATAAACCAATATTACATAACACTTTTTGATTCTATCGACTTTTCTTTATTTCTTAATACTTTCTTAAGCTTTTGGAAGGCGTCTTTAGCCATTCCAATTTTCCTTCGGATTTCGCTGTCACATTTTCCGTTCTCTGTTAAAACACTTCCCAGATATTTAAATTTTCGTACTTGCTGGATTCTGCCGTCTCCAATTCGCAGTTGGACTGCCTCTTGCTGACATCCATAGATTCTGTATTTTTAAAATGGATGTTTCGTCTTTTCTTCTCGCTTTCCTTCAATACATTTTGTAGGAGTTATTGTAGTTTTCTTTTTGAGTATGCTATCAACAAAGCATCATTTGCATATCTTATGTTGTCAAGATTGTGGCCGCCATTAATGAATCTTGCTAGGACCTCCAATCCTCTTAGCATCTGGGTAAGTCCGGCGAGGAGATAAATCATTGTCTTAGGCTCCTTTTTTTTATTTTTGTATAAATACTGAATTCACTTTCTATTCGTCAGTGTGTTGTTTGCTCCTAGTATAAGTTCTAGATTATTTTAATATCCTTCCCAAATAAATAATGCTTATCTACCAGATCAAACAGTTCTTTACAAAGCTGATTGAAATTATAGACAAATGTGAGTTCCTTGAGTAAAATTTTAAATATTGCTGCAGTTAAGTTTAACTCTCAGACGTAGGGTAGTTAGGAGAATGGAGACACAAGAATTGTTGTCGATGTTTTATATAAAATTTAATAA